CCACATGTTTTTTTTCCCAGTAGTATTACAAAGGTGACATGTTCTTAAAGCATGGGCAGGTGAGAAGAGAGGTGCATGCTGATTGTACCTCAATGTGAGAGTCGTGTGCTCCCTCTGCATCCAAAGTGCTGCTATAGTACAATTGGCACACCTTGCAAATTCTAGGTACACAAGTGCAGTTAGCAAAATTACCTCATCCCGGGAGACTGTCTTCATTATGGCAATCATGTGGCTTGGTGAGATGGAGAGCGACTCATGTGGCCCACTTGAGAGTCTAGGTTCACTCTCAATGCACTAGATGAAGGATCCATCACCCTGGAAATCCATCACACAGCCTCAGTAGAGGGCATATGGGTTATGTGCGCTTTTCATAAAAGGTCACTGGAATGTTCCCAAATAGATATAGACTCTCATGGTTGGACCTGTTGTACATCTAAGGCTACGTCTGTACTGTAGCTCTTTTCAGAAAATTTCAGAAAAGCCGATGTGTTCTTTTGTCAACCCTGTAAACCTCGTTGTATGAGAAAGAAGGGATGTGTTAAAAGAAGAGGTTTTTCTGAAATTTGTCACTTTGTAGACCCGCCAAATTTCAGAAAAGCTTCCTCCGAAAGAAAAGGGGAAAAAGATACACAAATTGCAGTTGGCAATTTTCCTATCTTTTTCTGACTTTTCTTTGTAGAGTAGACACAGACCAACTGGTGCACAACTTGGCCTGATTTTGATACTTCTGATATCTGGAGGGAACTCAAAGCCTAAAACCTGAGCCAGTGCTCAGAATGACCTTGTTCTGTGTCCATCCTTGGTTGCAGTGTTGTAGCAGATGTGACCACCGGTACATGTACCACAGTTATTGTTGGTGCAGCCTTCTGTGAAGGGGCAGCCATTACCTTGCTACAAGGCTATCTCGTTTGTCACTTAGGAATAATCAGTACCTAGGATAGGTCTATGGAATTTTAGCTTGAACTTATGTAGCACTTTAAAGAGTAACAAGATGGTTTAATAGGTGATGAGCTTTCGTGGGCCAGACCCACTTCCTCAGATTATATTCTGGAAGAGAATTGGCATGACCATATATACCAAAGGAATACAATGAAAAAAGTGAACACAGCACGAACTAGCTAGTTTGGATTAGGCTTCCTAATCCGTTCCACGAGGCGTACAGCTAGTTCGGATAGGAAGCCTAATCCGAACTAGCTAATTCGTGCCGCGTGTAGCCGCGCAGCACGCAGTCCGAACTAGCCGGCATTTAAAAATGGCGCCGGCCGGCTTTATGCAAATGAAGCCCGGGAAATTCAAATCCCAGGCTTCATTTGCAACTCCGTATGACTGCATTACCCCCCCTAGTTCGAACTAGGGGGGTAGTGTAGACATACCCATAGATATTAATGTACAATTGAAAAGGAAAAGTGAATTGTATGACAACATATGTTATTTTTTTATAGTGAACATATCTGAGCAAGGATTAGTTACAAGTTGCTTGTCTGATATAGACAAAATTCATAGATTTTACACCAGAAATTCTATGCACTCCTTCCTATCTCAGTCTGTCTGTGTATCTATCTAATCTCCTACTCATACATTACCTGGTGTTCTTATAAATGACTTGTAATTCATGATTGATTACTAGCTTACAAAAGGACATGTGTCGAGTAATCTGATGCATGGATTTTATAATTGGGCTCACATATGTCAAAGTGCATATATAGTGTATATATGACTGCATATGTCAAAGCATTCTAATAGATCAGACACTGCAAATCAGGAATAGAAATTTATCGGGAAAGCAGCTCATTTACTGTTGGACAAATTAGTAGCAGCAAAGGGCAAGAGACTTCAAGGGATACGGGCAATGGAAGTCTTGTAATGCAAAAAATGTTAGAGGAATGAGTGTAACAATGGAGACTGGTAAGACAAAAACTAAAATATTAATTTGACTCTAGTAATCTAGGTAAGAATGGTTTAGAACATTGCCTAGCAGCAATGAAGCTGAAAGTGAGATTTTATACTTGGGGGAAATGAAAGCCACCACTGTGACTACTTCAATCCATTGTATCTTGTTGGCTGTGTTGTAATTGTGCTGGTCCTACGATATTAGAGAGCAGAGACAACATGGGTGAGGAAATGTCTTGAAGTTTGTCCAATAAATGATACTTCTTCTCTCACCTTGTCTCCATCTATTGTATGCGTAAATGTATGGGAGCATGGTGTTGATAGAGTGGAAAGTCTATCTCATGTTTCTGATGATGTCACAACTCACTCAAGCTTTGCTATCATCATTTCTTGTATGACCAGCTCCTTCTGAGGGGATTTCACAGGGCCATACTGGGTCACACCAAAGGTCCATCTAGCCCAGTATCCTGTCTTCCAAGAGTGGTCAATGCCAGATGCCTCAGAGGGAGTGAACAAAACAGGGAATCACCAAATGATCCCTCTCCTGTCTTCCATTTCCAGGATCTGACAAACAGAGGATAGGGACACCATTCCTACCCATCCTGGTTAATAGCCATTAATGGACCTAACCTCCATGAATATATCTAGTTCTTTTTTGGACCCTTTTTTGGAAATCCTGGTCTTCACAACATCCTTTGGCAGGGAGTTCCACAGGTTTACTTTGCATTGTGTGAAGAAAAACTTTTGTATATTTACATTTGGTTTTCTGAGCCAGCAGTTTTTAAGTGAGATGAAAATTTGGGGGCATTCATGGCAAATAAGGCTCCTAAAAGGAATACAGTACTCTGGAAAGTTAAGCATCACTGTTCAATATAATTACAAACTCTCTAGTGAATTCCTAGGGAAAGGGATGATGTTGGCCTATGCCACTAAAGGCAAAACCAGAATTTGTGAAAGTTTAAGGAAAAAGATTGAAAATGTGAATCCTTTCATGCAGGTTTCTGTGATGTTATACTGGTCAAACTGAATTCTGCTCTCACCAGATGCTGCTTTAAAAAAAAAGAAAAGCAGGGAAGGCTGTAGATATATAGGAAAGTTACATTGCTCTTCCCAGATTAATTTCAGTTTCAATAGCACTAAGACCACTGTTTACTATATGTCTTTTAAAATCAAGTTCAAAGAAAGTTATCAACCCCATCTCTTCTAAACAAAGAGGTTACTTTGACTTTAGAAAAAGAAATATTAGAGAATTTTATATTAGCTGCTTTGAAAACTATATAAGAAAAAAAGGAATCTTCAGGGGATGTCTAAGTACTTTGCAATCTGAAAAGCCTCAGGAGATTTAAGTCAGTGGTGATCTTATAACCCCTAAATGTCGCCTTGCACACAAAATCTTTCAACTACCATCTAACGGCCTCAGAGTAACAATTTAAAAACGAGTTTGGTTTGGGGTTTTTTTTGTCGAAAAAAATGTTCACTCCTCTGTGTTGCAAATTTAAATGGGGAATTATTTATCCTTGGCAAAGAGTGATAATTCAGGTTGCCAATAGTTCTCAGGGCTTTTTCTTTAATCATGGGGTCTATAGGATTAGGGATAAGGATGTACTGTACATGTAGAACATCATAATAACTGCCCAGACAAAAAGATATCCTAAGGCTACCTCTTCAGACAAGGAGGCATTTATTGACAGCCTTGGGCTGCTCTGTGACAAATTAAAATAGGCCAGTTTTTTAGTCTATGATTCAAATAAAGCTTCCAGCATTCACTTTTAGCAATGACTCTGAACAAAATTCTCTTGCAAAAAAAGATTATGGGATTTTCTCTTTTTTGGCAGGAAATAGTAGGGTCCCATGCTGCAGTTCCTATTTAGGCTTTCATCAATGGGAGTGTAAGGTTTTCAAGAATCTCTCAAGGTCTTAATGGCTTTCTTTTGCTGCTGCTTCCTTGTGGCAAAGGTATAATATAACAGCTAATGAACAAGGATGTGGCATGCCTATTACTGCGCACATGTGCGACAAAGTGTTTCCGTTTCTCATATGTGAATGAATAATTTCCATCTTTGTGTGTGTGTGTGTGTGTGTGTGTGTGTGTGTGTGTGTGTGAATAGAGCTGTGCTCATTTTGTCCACTCTAACACTAGAGATATCAAAAGATGATGGCAAATTAATGTTCATACACATTTATAAATACATATCTTTGTGTGTTCTCACTTTGTATTTTTTTAATCTGTGGAAATTTCTAGTCTGAGGGTGTCTACATTATTATGCTACACTGGTTGAGGTGGACTGAGGCACAGCTGTAGCGCATCAGGTGAAGATATGCTATGCTGACAGGAAAGCACTCTCTCATTGGCATAATTACTCTGTCTCAGAAGGTGTCATATTCACACCTGCTGAGCAACTTAAGTGGTAATGTAGACCACACCTGAGTGAATTGGATTAAGATGCTCTTTAGGGTTGTTTCAAAATATTGGGGAAAATATTACAAGTAGCCTGACTTGCCACAAATGTAGATTCTTTTTCTTATTTTACTGTAATCAAAATTCAAAAGATGCCTCACGACAAAGCAGAGGAGATGATGTGATCCCTGTCCTGATGATCTTACAAACCAAATGTGGGCATACCACAGCGGAAGGTATAGGGAGGAGAATGGGTGGGGGTGGGGAAGGATTGAGTTGACATCAGTAAGATTATGCAGCTATTCAGTGAAGGCTAGTAAAAAGTGTGGTGGAACAAGGATTCTTTTCAGCTAGTTCAGAAAATTGATTCCTTTAATGGCAGTGTGGAAGAAAGTATAAAGTCAGTTTCAGGAGAAATACACAAATAAGGCACTGGGGCTTTTATCAGGGCAGAGTGGAGGGTCTGGGGGACAGAGTAAATAATAGAGCAGATAAATATGGTGGGATTTGATTGAAAGGAATACAAATCTTAAATGGTATGTAATGCAGAAATGGTGGGATGCAAAGAAAGAGACTATGCTTCTCTTTCAATATAAGGGAGACCTCAGTAGTATATACAAACACTGAGGCACTCACTTGGTAAGTAGAATAGAACTTGATTGTGTTGGTGTGAAATAGTCACTTAAAGTAACTTCTCCTAGTACATCCTTACCTTCACAGGGCAGGGCACTTCTGAACCTTTACTCTCTCTGGAGGGGGCTTCTTTGATTCTTCAACAGTTTACTGGATAAAGGGAAAACCATCTCCCACTTGTGTCAAGGAGCTGCGCAGTCTCCTGGCTAGAGCATCTCACTTCATAGCAAAAGAAATCAGATAAGAAGGATTATGTAAATTAATTTCTGCTTCCTTGTAACCATACTGTGCATGCAATTTGTTTGGCTTACAATTGCTTACAGTATATGCGGAAATAAAGTATTAGCAGATGTACCCAGCATTGCTCAGGTCCTTAACAATACATTAAGTTTTCTTTTTTAAAATAAAAGGAAGATGCATTGTACATGCTTTATTGAAATAACATTTAAAAAAAATTGAGCAATATTTTTATTAAGTTAATCTTAGTAAAATTTTTAAATGGGACTTCCATCAATGTTTTTCTTCTTCATCCCTATAAACGCTTACACTGTTTTAACAAAAAGTGCTATAGTGAATTTGGTTTCCAATGACAACGTTTTCTAGTTTTCAAAGCTTAAGCATTGATTTAGCTTTGCCAAAACAGAGTACTACTCCAAATTTCACTGTTTTGTGTCTTTTCTGTAAAGTTTATTGCGAAGCAATCCTATTTCAGGTTCATCCTATTTTTCTAGCTCATCTTGGTTCAGCCTCTTTCAACATTCGCTCAGTTTTGTCAATTTTGAGGACTGTACTTAATTTGATGATTCTCTTTTCTGTTGGTTTTGGAGGAGCAATCCCATTCTAGACACATCCCATTTTCCTGGAACATCCAAACTCTTACATTACTTTAAGTTACAATAAGAAGCTGTATACCAAATTTGGTGGTCCTCACTCTTACCATTTATGAGGAATTCTTGATCAAACAGACAAACTCTCTAAAATATATAGTAGACATATAGCCATTCATCCATACACAGGGTAGTAGCTCTGCCGCCGAGAAGGCTGCTAATGAGGTTTGGGTGAAATTTTTCTGGCAAAAGTCTTTTTGGCATAAAATTAGGTTTTCAGATACACAAATACTTTTTACAAACCATGTCTTCCTTGATACTTTTTGTTCATTTTTGAATGAAAGTTTTTTGCTTTTGAGTAGCTTTCTTTTATTTTATGAAATGGGTAAATTTTCCATGGGGAGAAAAACCCATTTTCCAACCTGCTGCAAAAAAAGCCCTTCATAATAAGTGTCATCCCAGACGAAACCATTTTTTTGCTGTGTTAAGCTTAAAAAATGAAACAGAAAAAACCCTCTTTGTAGCAAAAGTCATACACCTTTTAGCACTTCTTCCCTGCATGTGGCTATTATAAGCAGAAAAAAAAATCTCTTAAGCATTGATTTAGCTTTGCCAAAACAGAGAACTACTCCGGATTTCGCTGTTCTGTCTCTTTTCTGTAAAGTTTATTGTGAAGCAATTCTATTTCAGGTTCATCCTATTTTTCTAGCTCATCTTGGTTCAGCCTCTTTCAACATTCACTAAGTTATGTCAGTTTTGAGGACTGTACTTAATTTGGTGATTCTGTCAGAAAGTACTCAGGATAAATATTTCTGCATTGCAACTTAGAAATGCCTTTGTGTCTTATGTTTAAGAACTGGTCCTGTATATCAGATGAATTCTTTTTATTATTATTAAATTAAATAATTCTTATTCGTGTTTAAATTTTAAAGATAAAAATAATGATCTTGCACTTATATAACCTTTTATTTGAGGATCACAATGTCCTTTATAAAAATAAAGATTAATTCTTTCCATTGCCCTTTGAGGTGGGTATATTAAGAGTTATATTAATTTTTACACATGGGTAAATTGAGGTCCAAAGATATCAAGTGAGGTACCCAAACTCATACAAGAAGTCAGAACTAGAGTTTTGTTGCCAATTCCCCGTTTTAACCACTAGATAACCTTGCCTTTTCTCAGCAATGTTATGAACCATATATTTTCATATGTAATTGTTCATTACCTCTGTTCTGGTCACAATAGTAGAATAAATGCATCTATATTAAGAATTGCAGAGACATTTTTGAAAGACCATCTTGTCTTCATGGACTCTGTTACAGATGCTCCCAAAGAGTGATATATTCTGTTTACTATGTAACTTGCTCTATTACTCCTAAAAGAAAAACAGTCATTCTTGGTTAGTATGTGTGTCCAGTCAATGCTTTTTCAGCTAGCAAAATAAAATTATATTAGATCATGACAAAAATCTAAGTAGATATAGGCAAGGATCGATTTTTGTAGCAAATTTCTTAAGAGATGATTCAGTTTCTATTGCAGTATGTGACTGTCTACACCACAGAGGGTTTTTTTTTGGAAAAACAGCTGTTTTTCTGAAAAAACTTCACTTACATTCACACTGCAATCACTTTCTTTCAAAAGAAAATCAAAAGAACAGAGGGGTTTTTCTGACATTGGTAAACCTCTTTCTACAAGGAAGATGTCTTTTTCCGAAAGAGCTCTTTTGGAAAAAGGAGTGTGTGGACAGGGAAGAGGGAGTTCTTTCAAAAAAAAAAAAAAAAAGAAAGAGGAAAAAGCACAGGTGCCCTGGTGGCCACTCCGTCCATAGTAATCACAGCTTAAATGTGAGATAGCGTCCATTCAGTGCGGACACTCTCTTTCAAAAAAGCAGATCACTTTTTTGATGAGCTTTAGCTGTGTGGATGCTCTCTTTCTGAAGAAGATTTTTTGGAAAAGCTCTTTGAGAAAAGCTCCTTTCAAAAGAAGCCTGCAGTCTCTAGACATAGCCTGTGAGTCCAGGAGATATATCGAGAACTATGGCAATTAAAGCAGCAGCACATTGGTTAAGTTCATTAAATTTTAATGGCTGTTGCTGGAGACCTTTGGATCAAGGTAAGCATGATGTGTCAGTTTCCAGAACCAGGGAATTACTAAGAGGAACTATCCTCTGTATTTATATATTTAGCAATAAAAATGCTTCTTTCTTTCTTTCTTTCTTTCTTTCTTTCTTTCTTTCTTTCTTTCTTTCTTTCTTTCTTTCTTTCTTTCTTTCTTTCTTTCTTTCTTTCTTTCTAAAAACTCAAAGTTCCCTTCATCTGGTATCTGCAGTAACCGTGGTACCTTCTCATACTGCAGCACCATAGTCACCATGGGGAGGCAAATGTTGAACTTTACTGACACCTAACTTACTGAAGAGCAGATTTTCCTGACAATATGACATGAGAGTTCAGTTTCACAGAACAGTGAGAATTATCATTTCCTCACACCATGTGTATTGTATGACTGGAGATTTCATATTCTTCCTATTGATGACAATAGTGCCAGACAAGACTGTATTTGCTTATTGTTATTTATAATAACACTTGCGTTTAAGCTGTCATTCCTTTGGCACTGTATACATGAGGGAGCTTCTGGGAGAGTGTTTTCCATAAGTGTCTTTGCTGTGTAATTCACTTGGTGTGGTTTAAAATAGCATGAATTTGTTGACCTGGCAGACATGTCATACAGGTCGTTTGTCTGCGAAGACATTTGGGAAAAGGGTTACGTTTTGAGGAGCTGGGACTGGTCTATGGATTTTTATAAGAAGGTTGAAATTTCAGTTTTGCAAAAACTAGGAAGAGGGGTTGGTTCTGTGGACCAGTTTCTTGTGCAGAGAAAAGGTTGCTATGCTCTAGCCGGATTTTGTCTTTGTTGGTTTGTGTCTTTAATTTTCTGTCAAGGATACCTAGATCTGGGACAGGATTTTTTTTTAATGTTTGTAAGCTGAAATTCATATAGATATGATGCAGAAATGGTCTATTCTTTAGGCCCTAAGGAAAGCAATGATACTTTGCCAAAAGTGTGCCGCCAAAATTTTAATCATGGCGCACTCTCAAAAAATAATCCCAGCTCAGTTGATTGATGGAATATGGGACATTCCTAACCTCAAGGTTTTCCCTGCCCTTTCACGTGCACACACATAAAACTGTCAATTCTATATTCTTATTCCTTTTCAAAATTCATTAATCCCTGTCCAAGAAAAATCCTTCAACCCATCTTGCTTCCTTAGCTCCAGCACTTCATACAGGCTCCTTTAGAAGTCTCCCCCTACCTGGCTGTCATTTCTTGTCAGCAGGTTCCCCTTGTCTTGTGCTGGCAACGGAACAACATTCTTGTGATATATGCAGTGTTTTGGAGTGGTGTGGTGATGAAGGAGGCTTATAGGGGAGCATATCAGCTGGGAACGGGGCATTCCCTGTCATTGCAAAAATGGAGTAAGCTCCCCTAAAGCATGCGATCCATTCATCTGTGACCAAGAAAACAAACCCCAGTTCTTAAATTTGTATTCTTTATTTGTGTTTGGGTAAAGCTATGTTCAAGTGCCAGATGGCTGGAATATAATTTCTATGTAAACTTCAAAATGTTTGGAGTTAATCTGATACCATAGTGAACATAGGGAACATATAAAAACTGAGCTAAATAGATAAATTATAGATATGTAGAAAATGATGGATATTTGGAGTACATTTAACTATAGTTTGGGGATCACTATACATTTTCAATTGGTTTGTTTATGCTTGGTAAGTTGAGCTATCTGTCACTTGAATGGCAGCTTTTCTGGGTAAACATATAAACCACTTTGGTACTACAAATTTGAGCCAATAGTGAAGATAAATGCTTGCAATAGAAATAAATGGTATCCGCTATCAAATCAAAATGTAACTGTACCCCACCAGTCATTGTCTCATTATGACCACAGAGAAAATGTGGGTATTAAAAATACCATACCTGTATTGTAGATTTCCCTGTGGTTAATACAGTAAAACTCCATTGGTCCGGCATCCAATGCTCTGGCACTCCTGATGGTCCGGCACCATCAGGAACCCGGAAGTGCTCTAGCTGCTGGACAATTGGAGCTGCTCTGCCCCCGGCTTCCCCGATTCAGCCGCTGCTGAAACTAACCAGCAGCTGAATCAGGGGGGATGCCTGGGGCAGAGACGGGCTATCGGAAGGGGGGGGGGACTAAGGGGCGG